AATAGTGCAGTAGACAGGTACAGAGTAAATTACTACTACAGCAGCCCAGAAATGCAGGCAATCGGAAAACAGCTTTGTTTTTCTTGTTTTAATCTGAAATGTAAACACTTATAAATGACATTATCAGGGGAGGCAGAAAGCAGTAATCTGTCCTCTAAGCCAGTCATGGTAGAGAAGGTTGATGTGGAATAGAAGAAATGATGCAAATGCAAAGGAAATTGTAATTTTTCATATTCTGGGTATAAACTGAATTGATATCACAGTAGAAGATCATTATCTCATGACAAACGGTTCACTGTACTGCCAGCAATTCTGTAGCTTAGCTTTGCCAGGTAATCTTCATCACAGTTTGCAAGTATAATGGTTCTGTAGAAACTTTTTCCTTGTATTATGACAAATAAGCAGTAGTACTAACTGCTTAGTTTCAAATGTTAAGAAAACAATTAATTGGACAATGAATAATGGAGAAAAGTAATAGACATCTAAACTGAAAGTAGGAGTGTCTGATCTAACCACTAACACAATGTTCACATCTGCTGTGGTTTGGAATTTCATCTGCAAGCATCTTACTAATATTTGCATTGATAAAAGGAGAGTCATCAAAAACGTGACCTTCCAAACTTGCCTTGTTACACACTGCTTCTTGAACATAGTGCTGTACCTGGAACTCCAGAACTTACTGGAAATGGTAATTAAAGACCCACAAAACAAAATAAAACTCAGATCCTTCCCCGCTTTTGTAAGCATAGGTTGTGCATTTTGTTGCAGACCTCCAAGAGGTTGCAACTCAGTGCACCCTTAAGTTGCACCCTTACTAGGGTCCTGCACAAACCAAAGGTCCTAGATAATGCTGCAGAGGACCTGTAATTTGCTCCATCGCTCATAAAATGATCCAGCTTTGCATCTGCCACCTTCTGTACTCAGCAGAGAGAAATAAAATGCCATGACTCGTTATTTTCTCTCTGTTCTGGACATTTTGGTTTTTTGAAGGAGATCTCTGTAAAGTAGCTGTCTTCCTCCTTGATCACTACAGAAGTGAGTCTGATGTACCTGAGTAAGGAAGAAGAAACATTTGTCCCCTTCTCTTTGTACAGCTACTAGTAATAATCTGTAAAACTGAACCTATAAACATGAAGTTCCTATAACCACAAACCTGAGTTTATGCAGTCTTCCCAGCTCAACTTCCTAGCATGACTACTGTAAATAAATGTTGAAAAATAATGAATTAATGAAACTTAAAATTGATAACAAAATTAAGATAATTTTTCTTAACTCAGTATTCTTAAATTTTGTCTTCTGCTAAAAAGAAGACACAGACTTACCATTGCTTTAATTGTAGCAGAAAATTAAAATTTTCTCTACTTTAAATTTGCTCCATTTTCCACTTGTTCATAATGTTAAATTATGAAGAGGAAAGCCAAAACCAAAGCAGAAAGATATAGAAATATAGTTAACTACTAATTTGCCATGAAGGCAAGTATCACACATAAAGCAGCCTATCCCTCAAACTTTTCATAGATGACAAAGTAAATCAGTGCATGGAGAGACTTTCAAATGAACATCATGACCAATTAGATCTGAGAATACCATGAACCTGATGCTACTCCCCGTAATCAGGTAAAAAAAAAAAGAAAATATTGACTTCAAAACTAACCTACAATGCAGATGTAAGTGAAAAGCTGCCTAGACTCATTTCTTGTGAATGGGACAAATTTCTTGCTTGCTAGGGACCTTTAATATGAAAAGCTTCAATACTTTTATGAGATTTTTTTAATTGTTTAAAGTACTCAACTGTATATTATTAGAATAACTATAGTAATTTGGAATATCTCCCCTTTCTCAAATTTCCATTTGTTTATTTTTCTAAGTCATATATGCTTGGTAAGTCGTACGTGCTTTTTGTCAGCTAGGAGTAGTGTCTAGTACTGGTGAGAAAGGTTTTCTTGAAAATGGCATAGAGTTAATGTGCATGCCTTGCTTCTGCAGTCCTTACTTACAAAGACATGCTAATGCCCTGCTTAAATAAATGAAATTGTTCACATTAACATACAATGCAGCACTTGACTTCACACGAACTCTTAAATTTTCTTAACATGTTTCTTTAATGGGGAAAAATTCTTAACATTCAAATTCTAAGTCAGAGAGCAATGAAATACGTATTGGTTCCTGAACAGTGAATGCACAAACCAGTTTGTGAAGGTATATGAGGTCAGGCTTACAAGACTGTCATTTAATTCATTTGACTTTCAAGTCAAACCAACGTTTGACATTCGAGTGAGTGTGTTAGAAATTTGGAAGGACTTATCATATAAATAGAAATACAAAGCTATTCTAGTTTAATAGTAGTCTTTTTTTTTTCTTTTTTTTAACCACAGCTAAAGCTTTGAGAAAGAACTGTGCACTTTCTGTAAATACTAATTTTATCACATTTTCTTGATTTCATTCATTGAAAGGGATTGCAGTCATTTCTGAGGATTTAATTGTTTTGAAATATTGTGCATGTGTTAGAAGTGGATCTCATCTGAAGAGTCTGAAAATTGTAAAGGAAATTTAATATTATGTCACAAATGTATATGTATAGCGCATGTGTATGTATCCTTTCTCATGTCCATAAAATGTCAGTAAAGAGGAGTATCTCTGTATTCTGTCCATCATTATTACTGTAGTTCATCTTCACAGAACAAAATCTGCCTTTTCTTCATCACAAGCAGGCAGTTTCAAAGTATGAAAATTACAGCACTCCATCTTTAGATACATTGTTCCAATTCCCATCACAAAGAATTTTATTTATCTGTGTGATCACCTGCTCAAAGTCTATAGGAGTGGAAATACTGATTTCACTCAAGAAATACACCATTTTAACAGAATCTTTCTGGCAGTTGTGCTTGTCAAGAATGGTCATGTTCAGCCTAGCACTCTGACTAGTATTCATCACGGAGACTTCTCGCCTCTGCACAGAGTATGTTAAAGTTGTAAACACACATGTGCATTTGAGTTGGATTTTCCATAATAGTTTATACACTGTCTTCATTCTTCAAGGCATTCTACACTTAAAAAAACAGGATAGTGTAATCAGCATGACTTTTGGTCTTCTTTTGTCACTTCCTTCTGTATATGAATTCTTTCTATACAGAGGAAGGTAAATAACAGACCCAGTGCACAGGGTCAAGATTCTTCTTATTCTATATAAGATGTCCCCACCAAAGTGTAACTATACTATACACTCTTAATATTCATACATGCATTTTTGCAGTCACATATGTTAGCCATAATACGGAGTTGTAAGCAGAAAATGTGTGTGTTTATGTGCAAAAGAACGTTCTTGCTATGCTCAGCGGCCTGTTTGTGGCTTTAAATGTCTGTATCTTGTGTGGCTTTACATTGGACAATGTTGCTCAGTACATATTTCTCTCTCCCCTCATTTTCTGTGAAGTGTATTTCACTGCTCCCCTAGATTTTCAAAAGAGATATCAAGCTCATAATGTGATGCTTAGGCCTACTGCCTTACTTGGTTGATGTATTTGATATGGGGAAACATAGTGTGACATATTACACAATGTGTCATACTGGATATTTTTAATAGCCCTTCTGACATATATGTTACTCCTATAAATATTCTGATTTATAGTTGAAATCAGTGGGGTCAGGATTTCACCATAAGAGTGTATTAATTTGTTTTAGGAATGCAAATTATTGTTTAAAAATTCACCAAGACTCTGCGTAATAGAAGTATTTTAGTGCTTTTTAGTTTGAGCCTTCACTGACAGTGACACTTCAAGTATAATTAAAATATTTGTTTCATACTTTAATGACCAAATGTAGTTTCTCCATGTGGCACCATAACTCTTCTTAGATAGAAGAACTCTTTTTAAAGTGAAATATTGAAAAATGTTTACTGAACAATAGTGAAAAGTACTCCTCTATGTGCTTGCTTTGGGGGTTACCTGTAGCTAAACCCTCTCTTCCCAACCCCAGGATTTATGCACACACGCACATGTGCATGAACAGATCCAGATAACTGAGCTTAGAACTATAAAAATAAAGACTGTTCTCTACTAAGATAAATCATTTTGGGCTATTAAAAGATTATCTGATGAAGTAGTCAGTGTTTGTCAATGTTTTTTTTTGAAAGAGAAAACAAAATCATCGATTGAAAATGATGATGCCATTATTTTTGCCAGATTGTAACTGTTTATCATTTCCTTTACCGCTATTCTCCACCTTCTGTGGTAAGGCAAGAAGGTTTAGTTACCAGGATCTAATCTGGCTCAGAAGAAACGTCAAGTTCAGGGAAGCATATTAAGGCAGGGGGTTAAATGTGGATGTTTTGCACAGCAGCTCTCGGTAGTTTTACTTGATATTCAGAGTTAAGACAGAGAATAAGATAATTTATAGAGGAATTGTGACACTCAGCAATATTACATTTCTAAGCTTTGAAATGCCACAGCTTGTAACATTCAATATTTCAGGTTCTGGCAAAGCCAAAAATTAGTTCTTGTATATGTAACTAGAAGAGGGATAATTTTCATTTCTAAGTAGCTAAAGCATCTCTTTATATATACTCTATATATTACCCTATATGTTAGGTCTAAGATATACAAAAAATTATTAAGGCTTATGTCTGAATGTTGTGCATTCTGAAAATTCAAGAACAATTTTGAAGGGAGAATTGGAAAAAGAATCACATTTCATTTCAAGGACACAGATTAAATAGATAATAATAGGTAAAAGACAGGTCTAAGTTTGTCAAGGATTAATGTCAAATGCATTTATCAAATGACTATGCATATAATGGGTCACAGCGTCCACATATACGTATTTGTTATAGACGTGTGTAGTTGCTTAAGCGTACCTATAATTGCAAACACTGGAATACAATCTGTTCTTGTTTTACAGTGCTTTCCTATATGCATATGAAAATGAGATAACCTTATAAAGATAAGATTAAATCTGAGAAATTGAAGTAACAAATAGTTTAACTCTTTGAGAGACAGAAGATGAAAATATTTGTCTTTTAGAATCTGAAGAGAGGGTGGATGTACACTAGAACATTTGAAAATATTACCAGGAATGACAGTACAGGTTTGATATTTTTGTTTTTCTGTTTTCCCTTTCAGATATTCACATCCTTATTTTAATGAACTTGCTCATATAAATACAGCAGGATTGTTGTATTTTTTTAAATAACTCTTTACTGAATATGTCAACAAGATAATATATAGTGTATAGTGAGGTTTTGAAGTTAACAATGCGTGCAACATGGCAGATTGCAGAAAACAGATAATGCAGACTTCAAACCATCTATTCTTTCATGTTAAAGATAGAAAGTATACCAAACACAGAACAGAATCAAGTGTGCATGTCTCAGTTAAAATCAATTTTATGAAAGATCATCTTCAGATATTTGGGACCAAATAATGGTAACAATTTGTTTAGTAGCTTATCTGTTTCTGAAAGGATCAGAATTCAGCTCTCATGAGGCACATTTCCACAGAGCCCCAGTATAACAAAAGCTTGCCAAATCTCTTTTGTACTAGTTTTCCAGATGGACTACTAGCCAGTGTCCTTTTAAAGAGCAAGACATTCTATGTTGTACAAAAGTTTAATGCCAAATGCTTCAATATTGCCTGTATTATCATCTGGGATACAAAATGCCCTGTTCAGTAGAGTTCAGGGAAGGAGTGATCATCAGCTTCCTAGGATTATCTCTGTGTTTAGAAGAGAGCATCAGGCAGGATTTGATGAGGCTCAGAGCCCATAACTTTTGATTTTGGCACTCATTTCTGTTTTGTTTTTCCACTGAGCTGGAAAGATAAGTCATGAGTAAAACCATTATTCTCATGTTCTAAAGAAAAAAACTTTAATATCTCCATGTTATAATTTAAGGTGAAGAAGTACTATAAATGGATAATTCAATGGGAATTAACCACTTCACTGTCAAAAGCTGAGACTGAACTTTCACTTCAATGTCATTAATAAAGTGCCTTATGTAGACCTTTAAAACCATAAGAACAATACAATATACATAAAGTTCTTTTGCTTGCAAAATTAAAATCAATACATTTCTCAGAGGGAGAAATATTCTCTCATGAAAAGAGAAAACGATTGAGAGAAAAATATAGTTGAACTACTCTAGTAGCAAATAGCATATGCTATTTCATTTCTCTGTTTTACGTGACATTCATTGCAGTCCTTTATTGGCTTACAGGGAAAACTGCTAATATCTTTTCAGTCCAAAGTAATCCAATTCCTAAATATTCTTATGAAGAAATTCAATAATAACATCTCCAATAAGAACCTGTTATTGAAAGAGTCCATGCATTCATCAGGTGTTTGTTTCTGCCAGCAAGCTACATGCAAGGAACAGTTGTTATAGTGACAGAATCTGTGAAAATGAGGACCTGTTTGTAAATAAATAAGTCTTCAGAGGAACCTAAGCACTGAACACAGCAGCGTTGTGATACTGCTTTAACATAATTTCACTTAAACTCTTATTTTATTCCACTCACCAATCTTTTCTGTACATTTATGTCAGCTATTAGCAGTATGCAATGGAAGACGGGTGAGATTTTGTCTGTAAACCACTCATTTTCCCTCAGGTGCAATGAACCTGTTCAAATCAGGACCTGGAAGTGAACATTTTGGATGAGTTGTATATGCACCCATTTGGGACTTCTGCTCTATAGCCTTTAGTTAGTATCTGTGGTCAGACATTTGCACTAAGGGAAGATGACCCCATTTTTACAAAGTTCAAGGGAAAAGCTACTGATATTAAACTTTACATAGCTAGATCATTGCCCTTTTTTAACTCTTTTTCCAAATATTTTACCTTGTGAAAATTGCCCGTTATGTACTTATCTAGATGTGTCCTGAAAGGAAGCCTCAGCATTTGTGTGACTGACACTTTTAAATGTCCCAAACTCTCTTGTAGGTTGAAATACTTTAACGCTTTTGCAGCTGGATAGCAATAAGAACTGGGAAAAACATTCTTCAAATGAAAAATATGACATTTTGGTTGACTACAACTGTGAATTTGTTTAGATAATACTCCCAGTTCTACCCACAAATTTTGGTATAAGTGGCTTGTTACTTTTTTCCAGAAGTGTATTTATAGAAAAGAAACTTTCTCAGTATCTCATACCAATATATATGTTATTCTTCATACTGAAAAGAGGCATAAACTATGCTATCTTTAATATCAGTTTGATTTTTGATCTAGGTAAGTGAGTAATAGTCCACAGATAGATATATATACATTTCATCACCCAAGATCAAAATGAACAGTTTGTGAATGCCTTCTGTTTTCACCTTATTAGGACAGTAACCACATTTGTTATCATCAGTGTGGGCTTGTGGATCATTCACCTACAGTACAGCTGAACTCCCTGAATAAGTCATTTGCTACAAATAAGGCGCCTAGCTCATCTTGAAACTATGGTATCCTGAGGCCTAGAACAGAAGATGTTCATCAAGGAGGACAAAGATTCCTCCAGCATCAGTCACGGAAGTACAAAATTCTAGTAAGTGTGTCGTTTCAAAGGATGCCTTTTGAAATAAAACGTACAGCTAGTTATTTCAGTGAAATTAAATACTACATCCACACCCAATGGGAATCTCTGGCTCTACTTAATTTCAAACAAACTCCAGCATGCAATGAAAGCGTGCAGAAGCACAACTATTTGCTGCTTGTCTTGTGGGCTTTGGCAGCTAAAACATATTAAACAAACAAAACGTAAGTATCAACCTTCTCATCATAATATTCAGTAAATAGGTCACAGAAAAAAAAACTTTGCATAGACATTTCTACCTAGAATTACACCATTTGAAATCATATGGCAGCCTTTTATTCAGCAAAATTTCAGTGACTTTACTATTACAGTAGCCACACAGGTTGCCTAAAATACCTGTTATAGCTGGAGAAAATAGCAAATATACAGAATATAGAGTGGAATTTCAAAATGTGATTATAAAAGGTGTTGGGGGGAGGATGCGGTTCCTTATACAATGATTGTACTTTGCAATCAATCATAACTGGATTCATTTTGCCATTGCAGAAAATGAGTGTCATCACGCGATTTGAATTTGAGAAACTGCACACTCATAGACTGCTGGGTTTCAAGAATGGGTTGAGTGAAATGGGCAAAGGAAAGGATTAAAACCCTCTCTCCCAACATAAGCAGCCTCATAAAGTGAAAAGTCTAAGCATTCCACAGTGAAAGTGCTTCAGGCTTTACTTCCAATCCACTTCTAACAACTTCTCCTTGTCCCTAGTTGGTCACTGTAAAAGTTCTTTAGTTCCCTACTCCCTCAGGAAAATTTTGTCTCTCTCCTTTGTTTCTCTTTGTTGTGAACTTTTGCTTGTCCCCAAGCTCAGGAGAAAGTGAGCCGCATTAAAAAGCAAACAAACTGAAAAAAAAAAGAAAAAGAAGAATTACATTCCACCACTGAGCTGGCAAGAAATCCAAAGTTCTTGGCAGTCAATGGAGTGGCTGGAACATTATATAATTTTGAGAGCAGCATCATGGTTTTAATACAAGCATGATGTTTCACATAGTGCACGTAAAGCTCAAGGACTCAGAAAGTATTCCAGCTAAAGAATCTGAGGGAATAAAAAAGCAAATTCTAAGCCCACCTACTGCTTACAAAGCACAGATCATTGTGGAAAACTTCCAAAAGCTTAAGATAAAAGAAGGGTAATTCAGAGGGACAGTGTGTACTTGTGTTCTCAAAATTCCTCAGCTAATCAAATGCTTAGTTAATGTCCATCTCTGTACACTTGAATGAAAAAAAAAAAAAAACAAAACCACAAAAAAACCCAAAAAACCAACCAGGATTTATACACGATTTTCCCTGCTGAATATATTTCAGTTCATGATAGGCCTGGAGGCCTTTCCAGTAATAAATAAATGTTTAAAATATCCTATTTCTTTTTTCTGTTTGTTTGTTTGTCTTTTTTTTTTTTCCTATTTCCCCATAGTGAACATAAATCAGACCCTTAAATCAAACAGGGCTTGAACCATAAAAGTCAATAGCAATCCCTCCATTGGCATTATATTCTGCATCATGTTTTCAGCAATTTACAGGTTTAGATTCCAAATTCTACATGAATACTGCAGAACTGGGAGCCCTCAGAATTTCCCTCATTCAGGCTTTACCTGAACATGCTGTGTCAACAAATGCTGCTCTATTAAAGAGAGGTGCAACTTAATGACAGCTATCTGTTACATACTGATAACCTTCGTCTCCCACTGAGAAGGGTCAGAGAATGCCTAAAGCTTCTTAATCATAATGAAAAGCAGGAACAGTTTCTGTCATAAAAGTATATAGTATTGGGGGACATTTTCAGAGTAGCTTTTGCAAATAGGAATCAAGGTCACTTTGAGTTTGACACTGAGCTCTGTCTACCTTTCCTATTCCAAGTATATTGGCAGAAAACTAATCAAACAAGAAAGTAGCCTTTTTGGTAGCACTCAGAACTCCAGCTTTCAGTTGGAGGTAGGAAATGCAAAACTGCAAAGGGAAACAGAAGTATTTCCAACTGTTTGAAGCTCAACTGCAACTGCTGGGTTCACGTCAGAAGGTTTGTATCCATTTTATCTGAATTGCTTTTGTCCATTCTTAGTGACCCTGTTTTAATATGCACTTATTTTCCTGTACTACAGGACACCTAGAAACTTAACATCCCTCAGACAGCTTCGACAGCAAAGTGGTTAATGTTTGAAGAATGAGTCATTCTTTCCTTTGCCATGACATTAGGTTCTTATTGTACAACCCTGTACAGTACTTAGTAATATTTTTTAAAGATTTAAAAAGCAAAGAGTTACAAAACCATTTGCAATTAACTTGAAATAGAAAAGATAGCGCTTTTTTTAAATCCCATTATATAGTACACCGTATAAATTACAGAGTATTCAAATGCATAAATGCATCTGGGTAACATTTATCAAATGTAATTTTTTCATTGTTGTTGGGGGGTTCACTTTTTCCAGAGTTTTTTTTTTCTTTGTCCTAGACACCCCATCTCCCCTCACTATCACGTATGACAGTGCTCCAGGTCTGAGACATTGCTGTTGCAGTATCGCATGTTGTTGGGGATGTGGCAGTCTGTGTAGTTAATGCCCCCGTTTGGGGTATAAATGGGCTGCAGTCTGAAATCTCCTTTAAGGAGTTGATCATTATTTAAGGAGACAATCTGGAAGCTGGTTTCCGTCATCTCCAGGATGGAGTTGTCCTTCTTGGTCCCTGCCTCGCAGTAGTCATCTTTCCGACGGCCCCGGTTATATTTCCACTTCTGGGAGGTGTAACGCCCTTTCTTGTGCATGTGCCAGCAAAAAATGCTGAGCAGGACCACAAGGACAAATATCACTGCACCCCCAATCAACCCTGCCAGCAGAAATGGGGAGCCCAGGTTCTGAGAAGTTGTCTGCTCATGGCTAGAGGGGATGTTGCTGCCATTGCTCAAAAAGGAAGCCTTGGTTGTGGCTTCTGAACAGACAGTATCTTCTCCAGTTCGGTAATTGTTATAAGTATCCAGTGGAACCAAACAAATCCGATAGGTGGACTTGGGCTCCAGATTTACCAAGCTTAAGTGTTGCTTCTCACCACTAACTATTCGTTCCTGGACAATTCCTCCTACCAGACTATGGCCCATTTTAACCCATGTGAGTTTATATGCCATCACGGTAAAAAGAGACATCCAGTTAACTTGGATGCAAGTGTCATTCACAAAATGGATGGAGAGTTGAATCCGTTCAGATATAGGAGGTGTCACCCTTTCTCTGTCCTCCCTGTCAGGCACAGTGGGGAGTGTGGCTATGGTGGGAGTGAGAGGATTGTATTTGCTACTTGGGGGAGGAACTGATGAGGTGGAAACTAATGTAGTTGGCATGGCTGTAGCTGGGAGTGGGGTGATGATAAGTGGCAGACCAGGGGTGCTGGTGGGGCATGACAACATATTCATATTGAGCTCCCTGACTGCCATACCTCGGACCTGCTCTGGTCCCTGGCACATAAAACCCCGTACATTGATGGAAGCGGGAATAAATTTGAGCCATTCAGTGACCCACTTAATACTGCAGTCACACAACCAGGGATTATTCCTTACAGTGAGTTGCCTCAGGTTGTGAAGATTATCAAATACCCCCTTTACCAACATCCGAAGTTGATTGTTGGAAATATCAAGACGTTCCAGCTTGTAGAGGTTTGAAAAGGCTGTAAGTGGTATATGGGTTATCTGGTTGTCCTGCAAGTAGAGCCTTAGCAGGTGTGTTCCTGGAAGATCGGGAGGAGGGTAGGTCAGTGAATTCCGCACTATTGAGAATTCCTTGAGCTTGGAGAGGTGGCTGAAGGTGCCTTCAGCTATGCCTTTATTAGTAAGGAGATTGCCATCCACAATCAGACGCTCCAGACTTGTAAGATTCTGGAAGGCCAGGTCTGAAATGACAGCAATTCTGTTTTCGTCTACTCGAAGTTCTTGTAAGTCCACTGGAAGGCCTACTGGTACACTGCTTAAGTGATTCTTGGACAAGAACAGAAGCTTGAGGCTGATGGCTTCCCGGAATGCCCCATCCTCAACGCCAACAGTGGAGATGGAATTGTCATCCAGGTGCAGCTCTTCCAGCTTCAAAAGCTGAGCAAGGGCAGCCCGAGAAATGGTCTGAATGTTGTTTTCCTGCAGGTGGAGAACCCTGACATTCTTGGGCAGGTTCATGGGGAATTCATCTAATTGGTTGCCATACAGGTAGACTGTGTGCACAGACTGGACATTGTGCAACTCTGCAGGAAATCCAGCATTATTAATTTGGTTATTATGGAGGTAGAGGACGGTTACACCCTCCGGTATCCCAAGAGGCACTGAGGTCAAGCTTCGCTCATTACAGTAGACAAAGTTTCGGTCACAGCGGCACACTTTTGGGCAGGCCAAACTTTTGGAGACCTGCATGTAGAGCCCCAGGGAAAAGATAAGCCATGATTTCATGAGAACAGCCCAATCTGTGGGCCACATTCTAGTCCACGAACCCATTTCTAGTTTAAGGAAATAAAGTACCAAAGTGTTAAAGAACTAATAACAATAATAAAGCACAGGTAGCAAAATCTCAGGTCATTAAAATTGGCTTCTATTTATGTCCGGTGTTCAGGCCAGAGTTGAAGTCCTGGAGGCTAAGTATAAAATAATCCTTTTATAATTGGCCTACCTCCTACTTTTGATAAGTAAGCCACAGTCTTATTAGCCAGGGTTACAAAGTTTGTTGCCTTCCTCCATGTGTGCTGAAAGAAACAATAGCCGTGTCTTTGCAGGTGAGCAACAGGTTAATTTAAAGCTACCAAAAGTCATCTGTGTATGAGTTGCTTGGAGGGATAATATTTCCTTTCACTGAAGTCTGTTCGTGTTACACTCAGCTTTCTGAAGTCAGCAAAGTCCTCATATCAGCTATCTGCTGGATCTGGCCTGCCTGTAAAAGAAAAGAGAAAAGAAAAAGCTGAATAGCATGAAATGTTTAATAGGGAAGATCAAGCCCATTGGAAGACTATTCTAAGGCTGTGCTCTTTATGGCTTTCTGGAAAAAAGACATTAATATTAAACATTATCTTAATATTACTGTTAAATAGTCTTGAAATAGATTTGATGCAAAGTCATTGCAGTTGATTGAAGGACTTTCAGTGACTTCAGTGAAGGCTAGATCTATCACTTGTGTTTGCATATTGTACCTCCAATCTTTGTCCACTCACAGTCTATTTCAAATCCTAAAACTAAAACATTCTACAAACCTAAAACTAAATCATTTAACTGGAAATTTTTGCTCAGGTATTTTTCTTCTTTTGCAGAACCACTGACTTCCGTGAATGCTCTTCACTGATGCCTGACAGAGTAGACTCTGGGCTGCATTGTTTAATCACACTCTATGTTTTTTTCATTTTGTACCAGACTCTGGAATGTTTTGCTTCTATTTCTGTAATGCCATTATATATATTCTCCAGCTTAATGCACACTGCAGATTACTGCACCTCACTACAGTGAATTAGGTACTTATGAGGAGAGTCTTTTAAATAAGTATGGTAATCCACAAATATAGGATACCCTGCTGTAAGGCATATATTTGCTAAAACTATCATCTTGATATTGTTTCTGATGTGAATTGTGCTGTCAACAGACTTCAGAATTAGCTTTCCACTAAGTGAAATGGGCTTACATCTGCTAAGTTATTGTTCTAGGATATCAGCTCAGACCACAGCAGTTTTGCAGAAGAGCACTTTCTTTGAAACCATAAAGGTTAGATACTTCTTTTAATTCTGCTACACAGTTGTCTGTGAAGGGCTTCATAAACAAATTTGTTAGCTTCAGTATAGATGAGTTCTTTAATGTATATTTTCAGCTTTTAAGTGTACTTTTAACTTTTACCTTCCCAGCTATTATTTATTATTCAGATCTGTAACCAAACAATTCAAATCTCTGAAGTATGCAATGACATATACTGTATCATATGACATTATCTTTTCTTCTAATATGTTGTTTCCAATGACGGAAAAAAATGCTGCATTTTACATACTTGAACGTAATGAAGGATATAAACCTTCACAAGTACGAAGCATGTGTCCATCTCAGGGTCCTGAATTGCATAAGCACAGTATTTTTCCAGATTTTGTTGACCCAGATCAAAACTCATTGGCTGGGATTTCAGGAAAACAGAATTTCAGTGAACAGAAATCATGTTCAAAAATCTCTTTTCCTTTATTTAAGCAGTTTAAGCACCATCCAGGTAATTCAGAAAGAAATGTAATTCAGGAGTACATGAAAGCTTGTTCTTCTGCTACAGCTGTGCAGTTTATAACATGTCCCAAATGCTGCTTTTGGGAACCTCATGGACTGACAGTGTAAAAAGTCTCTTTAGGAGTTGCAACCATGCAACCTTGCACTTGTAGATTACTGTATCTATTTGGAGCATCATCAGGTATCAGCCTCAAGGCTAAAACAGTTGGAGATAAAAAGTGAGACCCTGAAAAGTCCTGTAGCTTATCATTATGAATTCAAATGGTAAATGTACCTATACTGTAACGCAGCCTACACTGTGTGTTGTCCTTTTCTAGAAACAGTAAGATTAACTACCCCATTATTCAAGGTTTTCTCTCTCACAGGCATATTTCAGTCGAGTGGTTTCATTTCAATGATGTAAGATGACGTGATACTGTAGAGAAACTCTAACAGGATTACATTCTAACATGAGCCTAAGTGTGACAGTTTATCCGCCTTTAATATGGCCTGGCTCCCATCTAGATCGTACTGTTCTGATCCGTCATGACACTGTCTTTTTAAAATAAGAAAGGACATGCAGAGCCTCCTCTGAGATGCTTGGGAACACACAGAACAGAGCGTGGTTCTCTCACTTTCCTTCCATCATCGGAGAGAGACAGCCTATACCTCCTAACAGGGCCAATGCCCTGCACTGAGCTCTTCTTCGATTGTAAGTCCAATTGCTGATTAGGTTTTATTTGACTCCCAGGTATGACAGAAAGCCCAGCTGAGGATGTGCAGCCACAGGCAGCTGCAGCTCCTGGTTTGCTGGGAATCTCCTAAGGAGGGAATGTCATATTAAAACTGATTTATGCATTCACCTTATTCTAGGACTCCGTGCAGAGTACCTTTCACCTGGGTAAATGTGGCACCTGAATAAAAGATTTCAGTAATGATTCTAGTAAATTGGGTCAAATACACAGCACTTCTCATTACAAGTAAAAGAGCTTTGACTGGACACTCACTTAAGCATATCAGCACTTTGGAAGCCGGCACTCTGGAGTTTATCTCCTTTTTATTGCTACACGGATTTTGCCATTAGAAATCTGATAAAACTTTCCTATCATTTTCTCCCCTTATGATGGTGAGAAAGGAAGTCCTTTTATTAATGCCTGTATCCTAATCTCCAGCTATCAGTCCTTAATAAACCGATACAATAAAATTCAGTACAGAAAATATGCATTGGTAACTACTGTTGATTGTATTAAGCAACAGCACAAGGGCAAATCTAATCAGATATTTATGACTTCAGGGTTGACTGTGGTGTGACAGAGGGAAGGAATGAGGAAGCAAAGATACAAGTGAATGTGTTTAAATAAATTATTTGGGAAAAGCTTTACCTCAGTAGTTTTTTACAACTGTTTAATAATAACTCATAGTAGTGGTCATAGTTGCAGTATTTTTCAGCAAATCTCAGGGACCCTAATGCAAAAGTGAGTTGTGTCCTTGTGTTAGAAATCTCTACCTCAAAGACATATAAAAGACTGAAGAGTTGAGCAACATGCTTGATTTAAAGAAGAAACTCTGCGAAGGAAAAACATCCTCGAAAAATTCCAGAAGGCTGGGAAAGCTGAAACAGTTTGTTCTTTAGCAAATTGCCAACGCTGAAGGTAGGTAGAGTAATTGAGCTTTCCCCCATCCCTGCCACGTTGGCTTCCTAAAGCAAGCTCTCCGTTTTCAGTATTCTTACAAGAACTGATCTGAGTCTCTCTGTGAATGAACTGACCATTTGCACAAGTAGAATTTTGGAAGTGGAGGAGTTAAGAGCACTCAGTATCCTTAGCTTTCATGATTGTAAATCTTGGGAATTGACTCATAAACTATAGATGGCAGTGACTTTGCTTATTGTGAAGCCGGAAAGTTCTAAAAACCAATCTAGGAAGCGAGGATGAGGGTAAGGGAATTTGTGATGGTTAACTTAAAATTAAAGAAATCAACAAGCAAACACCTCAATAATAACATATCTGCCCATCATCACCTTGGTCACTTTTGTTTCTATTTCCTTACCCTGTACACTTGATTTCTATTATTTCTCACTATATGCTCCTTGGAGCACAAGCCACGTCTTCCAAGTGTCTAGGACATTTCCTGTCTTACTGCAGCCAGGATATTAAATCCCATTAGGATTTAAGGAATGATATAATAAAGTTTAGAAAAGCACATTGAAATAGATGAGAACATATGTACAAGTTTTAGGTGGCCATGTCTGAAAATTTGGCTTAGTGGCCTGAGCTCCTGACATCAATGTCATCCCATCTTTTAGCCTGGAGAAAAAGAGGCTCAGGGGAGACCTCATCGCTCTCTACAACTACCTGAAAGGAGGTTGTAGCGAGGTGGGTGTCGGTCTCTTCTCCCAAGTAACTGGTGAAAGGACGAGAGGAAATGGCCTCAAGTTGCGCCAGGGGAGGTTTAGATTGGACATGAGGAAAAATTTCTTTACTGAAAGAGTAGTTAAACATTGGACCAGGCTGCCCAGGGAAGTGGTTGAGTCCTCATCCCTGGAAGTATTTAAAAGACGGGTAGATGAGGCACTTAGGGACATGGTTTAGTGGGCATGGTGGTGTTGGGTTGACGGTTGGACTCGATGATCTTGGAGGTCTCTTCCAACCTTAATGATTCTATGATTCTATGATTCTATAATGGAAATGTTCCCTTTCATATCTTAAGAGGAATTTCTGATCAATGTTTTTAACCTCACAGTCTTTTTTCAAACCCGCCTTATTTAAATACTCTTTTGGCATGACTAATGCTAGCTGGAGAAGAACAATTCTGGCTTTGTGTATTGGATAAAAATTTCAAATTTGTTTTTGTTCAACAATGCATCTGAACATCTCCTTTCAGATATTTTGATTAAAGTTATTTAAAGGCTGAAACATCTGGCTGCAAGTTGGGAAGGTGACAGTTTTATTAGTCCCACCTTCACTGGTCAGAATCATCCACACAACTTCAAGCTTTAGTCACCCTGCTGTGCATAGCCATGAAATAATTTAGTTACAATAAACAAACATGCTTCAATAATTAATATATTACTGAAAATGCTACTCAATCATAAATTTGTTGTATCTAGGAAAAAAAAACAACAACCCACTAGCAGCCTGCTTATGCAACTCTCCTACCTCACTGACCAATATTGCCTCAGTGGCTGCGTCTATGGTGTCTAAAGAAGCTCCAAAGCTGCCCTCAGGGCATCCTCCCCACCTTTCATGCTGCAGTCTTCCAAACATGCAGTCCCAGGTGTAGCAGTCAAGGTCACTGTGGCTGGCTGAGAACCTATTAATGTTCAGGGGAGATAACAGAGAATCAAGGGAGGAGATAGCATATGGAGCACAGCCTGCATATGAATACTTACAGCCCTATGTTATAAGCACAGGAGTTTTGTTGTGCTCCTGAAGCCAGGTTGTCTGTCTTCATTAGTCTTCCCACGTTTTATACTAAGGCTATTAATTTTTTAGAGGGAATAAAATTAACACCACTTGGCTATTCTTTCCTTCAAGGAATCCTGAAAATAATCAAAAATAGATCCTAAGAATCCAAGTTTTTTCTCTGATATTCTAACCACTCAGCACCACTTTTCCTAGCTGTTCATCCATTTATCTGAACTGAGTGCCATGCAACGTAAATAGAAAGGCAAGCAAAACCAAAACCAAATGGTCATAT